ATGATGATATTAGACCCGAAAGACGCGCGGAATACTAAATAAATTCTCAGTCTAGGTTACAACCTATCTGATGGAAAAAGGAGTTATGCAGTTATCATCTAAACATATGTCTCTAAGTCCCGTTTGTATTTTCCTTTTCAGGAAATGGACCACAAACAAGGAGTAATCCAGTGAACTATATTTCATACTTCAAAGCTCCAACACTGGGGGTACTACACATATAGAAGCATGAACTTTGAAGAAACTTTGGACAGGCATAAGCTTGAAAAAAGGGACATGAGTTATGAGTTTTAGGCCAAAATTTAATCACAGGATAATAGACCCGATTTTGAATTTCAAAAATCTATTACAAAAAAAGTAGTTATGAAAGTGTTGTATGCATAAATGTTGTACAAAGTGTTATATGTAGAAATAAAAAATGATGTACGAAATTTGAAAGTTCAAAGCATAAAACTTCTTCAAATTATTTCTTTTTCATGTTTACTTCGTCTTTCATATATTTATACCCATATGAAGATGCGACGTCATCTTCATCAGTGTCGTTAATATAAAAGGGCCCTCTTTTATGAATATCCGTATTTAATAAAGTCACGGACTGTTTAAGCATTTTTAAGTGCAAAGAAAAAGCTCAAATATCAAAGAGCAAAATAAACGGTAAAAACAACCGAAACATATATTAAACCTTGGGGAAACAAAGGTAGTAGTTTATCATTAAAACCCCAAAACAAAATAGGTGTAACCAATAAACAAAACAACCTTTTCCAGAAACTTTCCACCAAAAAGTTGCGAACAAAACAACCAAATAAAAAACAGAAAAAACTAAGGAGCATCATCTAAGGGGGCATCATCCACGGGAACATCATCAACGGGAGAAAAGGGATTAATTTGAGAAGAGGAGGTTTGAACATCAGTTTCACCAGGAACGAGTCCATTACCTCCAAGATCTTCAACTTCATGTGAGGAAAAATTTTGACGTTGCTGAGTTTTCTCAATTGCTTCTTTAGCTTTGGCAATTTCAGCACTAAGGTCAAAACTCTCCTGGTTGGCCTCAACTAGAGTCTCAAGGTGTGTATTCAAAAAAGCCCAACTCACATCTAGTGTCAGCTTATCCTCGAGAATCTTATAATCCTTCTCCCACTGGTTAATCTCGGCTCTCAATTCTTCTTTCTCTGCTTCAAAGGCATCATAGGCTGTCTTCAGAGGGGCAAGTAATCTTTCTAAGAACTGAATCTTATCAGTAGAGGTGCGGAGATCTTCCTGAGTTTGAGTAAGAGTTTGAACCAGCTCTCCCGCATAAACCTCTTTTTGATTAAGAAATTCTTTCAAACTCCTTATTTTTTCAGTTGCCTTAGAAAGTTGTTCAGTAAAGGAGGACTCAAGGATATCCTTATCCTTACCAACTTGACTAGAAGAAGCTTTCTCAACCGCTAATTCAGCGGCAATCATTTTCATTTGTTGCTCTAAAGCATTCTTCTCCTCTGCCAAAACTTCTTTCTCTAATTGAAGAACCTCAAATTGTCCTTTCCAATTATCAGCCTCGATGTGGTAATCAATAAACTTTTGATCTGCATGAACAACCCTTTTCATGAGTTCCGTACCGATCAAGTTGATCTGCAATGAAAGAGAAGGAGTTATGGATATACAAAAAGAAGAGAAAAAGGAAATATAATTAAACTCGTACCTTCAAAGAAGAATGAACAATATCATTCACCAAGGTCAACGAGCTATGACTTTCCAACTTTGACTTCTCCGCATGACCTAACAAAGGTTTCAATCATACATCGGCTTGAGCCGATTTCCTCAATAAGTTCCCAATTTCAAGAACCTCAACAATAATTTTCTTCATTAGCTTCTTGCTACTGGAAGTTTCAACTTCTACATGAGGAGTAGTATCCACAGGAATGGCAGATGAGGTAGAAGCAGCCATGGGGGTAGCATCAGAAGTAACTTCAGGTAAGGACACGCGAGGATTAACGGGGACTGATATTGGAAAGGAGGCAAGGGGCAATTCCTCAGAAATAGGGCCAAAAGCTTCATCACCTTCGAAGCCACGAGCAAACAATTTTTCAACAGAATCTTGGGAGGGATTATTAACTTCTTCATCAGAGATCACCAACGGGGCACTCACTGGCTCATCCGTGAGACTGAAGGGAATTGAACTTGGTAGAGGTTCGTGAGAAAGAGTATTTTCATCATCAGAAACCACGCGTCTACGGGAACGTGGCCTTCACTCCAAAGATCCTTCTTCAGTGTCTTCTTCACCATCAGAGCCACGGGATCCATCAATCTTTATTTTTGAAGAAGAGCTTAAAATTCTTTCCTGAGCAAGAGTCACGGAAAGCCTTGTAGATGAAATAAATGCGGGACTAATACCACGAATGGAAAATTCTAGCAAAGAAAAAAGGTAAGATAAGAAACTCTTGAATCAATAAGGGAAAGGAAAGGAAAGATAGTAAGCGAAAAAAGTACAGTGTGTCTTCACTTTCCAACCAAATCTCTGTGGAAGGTATTTTCAAGATCTTTTCTCCATAGGAGCAACAATTAGCAACTTATATACCCAAGCACGGAAGTTAGGAATTTTCTCGAAAACTTCCATGGTTGCTGAAAAAGTAGGCATGTGATCACATAAGTTTCTTTTTAAAAAAAAATAAGGGAGAAAAACTTACGTGCAAAATTTCATTGTTCTGGAAAAAGCATATTTTCTTCACCTGCCAGAACACTAGTGGAAGCAGCAACAAAACGGGCATACCAGTCACGGTCTCTGTCATCTTCAGGGCTGACCAATTCCCTCTTACTTCTAGCCACAAGGGAAAAAACTCCTTCACGAAATAGTTTAGGAGAGTAAAGATGAAGCAAGTGCCGGAAAAAAAAAGGTATAGAAGCCAGATCTAATAAATAACGAAGGTATGCAACAACCCTCCAAACAATGTGGCCAATTTGTCCAAAACACACATTGAAGTAACGACATAATTCTATGATTACTGGATCGATAGGTGGTTTAAACCATAAAGTAAAGGGGTAAGTGTAAACGAAAGAATAGCCAGCTTGGTATGAAGTTATTCTCTAGTTGAAACCGGGAACTAATATTGGAAAATCTGATTTCCAATTACATTCTCTTCGAACCAGGAAAATAAGACCAGTGGTAATCAAGGTAGGATAAAGGTCGGCAGGATTAAGGGAAGCTATGGATGAAACTTGATTTCTCATGGATTCACGATCGGATGAAAAAGAAAATGCCTGGGGAACAATCTCTGCAACTGTTAGTTCACGCACTGGTTCACTCGAGTCTCTATTCCTAGAGGAAGATCTAGGGATTAAAGGAGCGCTAGGTTTAGAAAAGGAATATTTAGCAGCATTGCCATGAGAAGAGGAACTGTGGTTAGACAACGAGCCTAAACTACGAAGTCTACCACCTCTCCTACTTCTAGTAGGGACAGTAGAAAGAGCGAGCTCGTCGACGATAACAACCTTGCGAGGGTCTGGTGTAGAAGAAGACATGATTATATGGAGAACTAACAAAGAGTAGATGCAGAAGTAAGAAGGAAGAGTAATATAGAGAATACTGTAGAAGAGGGACTTCGGGAAATCAAAGAAGAATGAAGTATTTATAAGAAGACACAATCATCATTAAAAGAAGATCATTATGAAGCGTCATAATGAAACCGTCACTTCGTGACTGACGCAGCCGCAGTAAAACTCTAAAAAGCGCTGAAAACTTGCAGAACCAATCGTCAAGAGCCACGTGGTATATGCATTGAATAGACGTGACATACGAAGAAAACGCAATGATACCCGAAAAGCAGCGACAAAAAATTCTCGCCATAAATACTTACCACTTCCCTAATATTCAATTAAAAAATATTCAAAAAGTGAGGGGACTATCTGTATTGGTGGAAAAAAGGTATCACACGTGGAATCTTACTTAGCTGACAAAGCATAATACGTGGAACAATGGTGAAGTGACAACTGGCGTATTCCATTAATGAAATTAATGGAGCAAGAAAGATGCGGAGTAAACACCCACGAGACAGTAAAGAACAAATGACCGAGCCTAAACAGTTGTTGAAGAGGCACAGGCGGAATGAGTCAAGACCAAAAAGAAGGAAGATTCATGAACCAACAGTAAATAAGGAAAGGGAATCGGAATCGTTATAAGGCCTTTACAGTTACGAATGTGCCAGTTATGATTATCAACTATAACGAGCAATTAATACCATTAATGCTCATAATGAATTTGTCATAAATAGGGGAAACGTTATAATTGGATACTCCTATATAAGAATATGGAATCTCACTTGTAAGGACAAGTTCCGAACACTATTGAAATATACTTACATTTTCTTGCTTCAAAAAAGTCTTCTACGTAATTTGAGGGATAGATTATCATTCCATTCCTTATTTCTTTTTTACTAATTCACATTGCTATTTTTATTTCTTTTCAAACGGATTGTTGAGGAAGTAAGGTATTATTTGGTTATCAGTAGCCCGATTTTTTTTTAAATATAGGCTTTGACCAAAGATCCTATTTTTTTATTAAACACGAACGACATTAAAATTAAATATTCTTATGAGAAAACTTTTCTTCGTTATCCCAGATAATTATTCATATTCATTAATCTACCATCACACTTACGATCATATGTGTTGGTTTGAGTTGCTTTTTCTTGTTCAACTAGATATGGGCTGCCCGTGCTGAGCACGGGCCCAATATATGATCCAATATATTTTTTAACATATTAGCTTCAAAGCAATGAAATTGAAAAGGATACATCCGAGCTATTAGTTTGCACGTGCTATAGATAAACTGACAAATTAAATTGGCTAAAGTGATTTGGATCAGATTTGTAGATATTTTGTGAAGATAACTAAACACAACATCCCCAAACTAATTTGGTAATGTATTCATGGATCAAATTTACGGTAAAAACCTCACCTAAAAGGTGCTTTCAGAAAAACGGCTAAAACTTATAATCATAATTTTCTGAAAGAAAGAAAAAGCATGGTCCATGAATATGTCATTCATTGAATAAAAATGATTGCGTAAGGTGTATAGGAAAATTACACCGGGACAAAACTAAATTTCTGCAACCCTTCATGCTAAAACATCAACTTCGGTGCTAGAAAATAGAACTATGACTATTAAAAATTTACATAATTTAACCTTTTCTTCCAATGTGTTCCATCCTGCATGAGTCAATGGGAATATTTTTTTAATCAGCACAGATATTCAGCAAGCAGTAGCACACAACTTTCTCCCGAATTGTGAAATACAAAAGTGTGTTCGAATTCTGATTAGATAAAAGGAAGTGCAAATCCCTAGAGAAGGAAATGAAGGATAAAGAAATGTTAGCAAGAAAGGTCTAATACTAATTGTAGATAATTGTTGCTAGAACTTAGTAATAGTATACAATTAACAATATAGTAGTGAAAGAAAGCTAGTTAGAGGACTGAGCTATAGAGAATTCTAGATGGAAAATAATGAAGAAGGACATGTGTGTTATTAGAGAAAAAAAAAATTAATTTAAAATCAGCTGAAATTACAGAAATACTTACTAAAGTTGCAAATCACTAATCAAGTGTTTTTAAAGCAACAAATAATAAAATACATGAAACTTAAAAGTTATAAATTCGAAAACTGTTCCATGGCAAAGGAATTCTCAAGATATCTATCTCTATCTTAGCATTAAACTTTAGAATTTGAGACACAACATGAAAAAAGCGCATCAATTTTTTTAACAACGGACTTAAAAATTACGGATACACCACGATAATATACATATATTATTCAAGATAATAATTATTCAGTGTGTGCAACCAAGCATAAGTCATTTGCGACTTCATTCATTAATTCGATATTCTGCTCTGAATGTCAAACCAGAAACAACAATTCCTTTTCTCTTTCATCTGGACATGAAGTTAGAATTTGACAACATCCAATGCTAAAGAAAAGAAACTCTTTAATTTTACTGCATGTAGACACACAACTATAAGACATAGTAAAATTGTATACGGTCGAACATAGAAGTCAATGTGCACGCGACAACTAAGAGCACAAGCTAGATAAACATATTAGTCTTAAAGAACGGAATCGTCCCACCACCCGAGCTACCAGAATACTCTTCTTTCGCTAAATCATTTCACATAAACTTTCATAATTTAAATAAAATAAAATAAAAAAAGAATTTGACTCTTCAAGAACTGAATTTTCTCAATTTCTGAGCTGCCAAAACAATTTTGTTTAACATAAGTGGAGCCAACAATTTTGTTTAACATAAGTGGAGCCACATAGAATTACAAGAGTAAATGCTCATTAAAAAAATATATTTAAAAAAAAATTAAACACAAACGGAGAATCTTTGTCAAAAATAAATCTTTTCCAAAGCTTTGAGCTGCCATAAAACAACCTTATTTTACATAAATGACCCATCTAAAACAATAATAACAAATAGCCAATTAAAATTATAAAAACAATTATACCGGAACAATGAAATAAACAAAAAGGAAAAAATAATGGCAAACTCACCGGCTACAAGGGCGAAGCTAACCGAGAGAAGGGCACAACGCACAAATCTATTTTCTTTTTGAAAAATAAATCTGCAACTATAAAGAAAATATTGCAGTTATGCGAGGATGACAATTGAAAAACCTTCACATGAAATTGGAAAGAGAATTAGAAAGATTAATAAAGACATCATCCATAATTTTCAATCGTGAATTCAGAAGTCTGAAGAATACTGAAAGAAATTAGGGAAGAAAAGAAATT